TCCCTACATTCTAATGGATTCAGTGGAAGCATACCACCAAATCTTTGTCACCTATCAGATATTCTGATCTTGGACCTATCTGTAAATAATATCTCAGGAATCATTCCAAAGTGTCTTAATAATCTCACTTCCATGGTTCAAAGAACAGAATCAGAATATTCCCTTGCAAATAATGCTGTTCTTAGTATTTCTTACCCTTGCGGCGGCTCTTGCAGGTCTGACACTTGCGGGAGCCGTTGCAGGTCTGACACTACCAAGAGCCTTTACAGGTCTGACACATACAAGAGCCTTTGCTGGTCTAACCCTTACAAGAGACTTTACACGGCACTAGGTAGCTATGTTGAATATCAGAATGAGATCCGTGTTAGATTGAAAGGAAGAGAGTATGATTATCGAAGCACGCTAGGACTTTTGAGGATCATTAATTTTGCAAGAAATAAATTAGTAGGTGAAATTCCAGAAGAAATAACAGGACTCTTATTGTTGGTAGCACTGAATTTATCCGGAAATAATTTGACTGGAGAAATCCCTCGAAAGATTGGACAGTTGAAACAGTTGGAATCACTTGATTTGTCAGGAAACCAATTATCAGGACTGATTCCTATCACAATGGCTGATCTAAATTTTCTGGCTTTCTTGAACCTCTCCTACAATCACTTGTCGGGGAGGATTCCGTTAAGCACTCAGCTGCAAGGCTTTAATGCTTCACAATTTACCGGTAACCTTGCATTGTGCGGGCTGCCACTCTTACAGAAATGCCCTGGAGATGAGACGAATCAAAGTCCACCTGCTAATGATGACAACCGAGGCAAAGAAGTCGTCGCTGATGAATTCATGAAATGGTTTTGTACTGCTATGGGAATTGGTTTTAGTGTATTCTTTTGGGGAGTTTCAGGCGCTTTACTGCTAAAACGTTCCTGGAGACATGCCTATTTCCGGTTCTTGGATGAATCATGGGACTGGCTCTATGTGATGGTAGCAGTGCGCAAGGCACGACTTCAACGAGCCTTTCAGAGGCTGCACGAGCACGTTCTTGCTTAGAAGGATTGCAAGGTAATATGGTTATTCACATATCTTTTCCTTTCTTTTTATATTGAAGACTAATGGTTCATTTTATACCAGGGGCTGCAGCTGGGTGCATAACAGGTCCTCTTTGTCCAAGGAGTTCATATTGTTAGTGCACGTGTTTGCTGGAGCTATATCGTCCTTTACGTTGGCAACTTCATCGTCGTCTACTACTACAAGTTTGAAATAAGGTTCCATTGGAGAACTCTTAGTACACCTGCTGGGTTTTAAGGGAAACTATGAAAGTGATTATGTAATATATTATGGAATTTCAAAGTTGGTTTTTATGTGAATTTCATTTGGAAAGTTTTTGCAAGTATTTAGTTCTTTACTTAATAGTGTGAAGTGTTAGGTTAGTTGTCATTTCATTTAAGGCATCAGCCATTGACAATTGATTATTGGTAGCCACTATTGTTGAATGAGCTAGAGTTGGTGGCCACCAATGTTGACAATAAATTAAGAAGAGTCTCCATGAATGTCTATAAATAGAGGCATATGTTAGAGAGCAAAATGAGAGAGAAGGAAAAGAGCCAAAGATGTGAGAAATGTAGGAGAGAGTGGGCTGCCATTGCAAGACTAAAAAGAGAGAAATAGAGTGAGGTTGAGAGTTATCAAAGAGAGGATGATTCATCCTCCTCTATTGTTGTAAATCTTGTACTCTCCCTACATAATGCAATGGCTTCTCCCGTAGATGTCGGCGGTTTGTCGAACCACGTAAAATACCGTGTCTCAGTGTGCTTCTCCTTCTATGAACAAATATCAGTACATCACCGGTCGGAATTCCCAACATGAAGATGGAACATATTGATCCATATCAAGACCTAAATAAGATTTTTAATATCTAAAAATTCAAAAGTACACAAAAAGATATAGTTTATAGAGATAGCAGAATTACAGAGAAGCAAATAGAGAAATTGGTCTATATCGAGGCCCAAATAAGATGTTTTACTCTTTTCTTCTTCGTGTCACCTTTGTACCCCTTCACTTCAGTTTCATTAGCAAGTTTTAAGCGGTAATCTAGCTATATCAATAAAATATCTCGATTATTATAAAAAAAAAGTTGTGAGTAGGAAATAGAAGCTAAAAACAGCAAATACACACCAAATACAAAATTTAATAAGTGAAAGAAGTTGCAAATGTCAACTTTAAATTTATAATTTTATTCTATTCAAAATAATACTATCTTCTTAGAAGGTTTACAAAATCTTAAATAGATTAGAGATTCTACTTCAATTAAAAAATAAAAACAAAAATTTAAAAATAAAAAAATAAACATGAAATCAGAAACAAAACATGGATCTGAAATAACAAGGAAAATAATAAAATTTACCCACGTTGAGGATCGAACGAGGTTTTCATTCGATATTTAAAGATTCAAAAGCATACATAGAGATGTAGCTGCTTTTAGAAGGGAAACAACCTCTGAAAATTCATATAAAAGCTTGAACTTGATTGAAAGATAAGATTAAAAGTTATAGTCTTTTCATGTCATTATTATTGTCTGCAAACATCATATATTTTCTTTAGCTTAGACCTGTCCTGTTGGTTCATATATGCATCTCTCAAGTCATCTACTCTAATCTATTTAGAGTAGATTATCATCAAGTTATGATAAATACATACCTGATTATTTAAAATCAGTAATTATTTCACATCCAACTACATTAGTACGACAACAAAAATAATTTCAAGGCGAACAACAGAAATTTCAAAGCGAAAATAACTTTAATTTTCTTTATATTTAGGCCATCCATGCAATCTGTTTAGAATAATCATCATCTAATTATGGTAGATTCACATTTAATTACTTAAAATCACGTGTTATCTCGTGTTAGGCAGGCTTCTTTCATCCATTCAAAAACATTTCTTGTAATGTGGATGTACCAAGTAGAGATCTTTGTAGAAGATCCAATGGAGACTAATAATGCACAATAAAAAACAAAGAAGCCTTGGTGTATACTCCATTATATAAAAAAATAGAGCCCTGTTGCTAAAATGGATTTGGAGACTCTCTTCCCTAGGTACAAGTTTATAAAAAATGATTATCTCTTCGATGTATAATCCAACTTATAAAAATAGGACCCCAATTTTCTACAACCAACCCTCCAAGATTTGGAAGGGTATTATGTCCATTGTTTAAACCAATGTTCACCATATCTTCATGAATCATTGCAAATTCATGGTAGGGAATGACAGTTTAATATCTTTTTGGCTAGACAACTAGATTGGTGGCTACCCTCTCAAAACAACTTTTTCTAGGCTATATCTTTTATTTTCCTCTACATTTGCTTTGGTGGCCGACATGAGTAGATGGAACGATGGAATCTAGCTCTAGTCCCTGCAATAATGCAGACCTCTATTCTATTTTGAACAAGAGCAACTATCACTTTTATCATCCTTGCTTTAATCCAAGCCTATGTTCTACCGCAAAATAGATAAGAGAATCTGGACTCTCAACAATAATAGTCTGTTTAGTGTAAAATCTTGCTCCAAAATGATAGACCAACTACTTTATGGTAGTGCCACTAACCTCACTAAAAGTGCAACTTTTCCTCTAGCTCTTTATCCAAGACAAAGTAACCACAAGAGATTTTCTATTTCAGCATGACTACCTCACTCTTCAGGAGTCAAGATGCGCTTTCTGCAATAAAAGCTTGGAATCTTCGAGTCACCTCTTTATTCACTGCCACTTCACTTGGAATATATGGATGAAACTATTTTTTAATCGGGGCTTTTGCAGTGTTTTTTCAAAATTTGTTGATGATATATGCTACCAATGGTCTTCCATAAATAAAGGCAAGTAATAGAATCTCTCATGACAGCTTCTTTTCTCATGTGTTGTTTGGAATCTTAGGCTTCACTGGAATGACATCATTTTTAATGACACTGGAAATTGATCACTGATCCAATTTGAGTACCTCTATAGGATAGACCTCAACAAAAAACTAAAGAGTAAGGGTAGAAAGTGATTGAGTTTAGTAATTCCTCGTATAAAATTATTGACTTTAGAAATATAGTAATATAGAGAAGATAAAATTATTTCAAGCATTAATAGAACCAAAACGCCCATTGTTTCAAAAAGAGAAGGACAAGTTACTCACATTTCATTTGATGGTCAGAGGTGAATTGAAATCAAAGCAGTGAGAATTTTAAAGATTCCTCAAGGGAAAAATAGAGATGTCTCCTACGTTGCCCCTAATATGTGGAAGTATAAGCATAATTTTATAAAGTCATTTGGTCTGAATGCTACATGAAAAACATATGCTAAATGAAGGAACAAAAAGACTTAGGATGTAGAAGTGCACAGCATGAATGATTAAACAAATCTTGATTCCTATATATCCACTCATGTAGTACTTGACTTCAATATATGATATATAAGATTCATCTATATAGATGTCATCATGTACACCTAAAAAGTTGTATGCTTTGGAAGAAGCTTAAACAATTTATGAAGAGATTTTGATTGATCAAAAAGAAGGATCTACGTCAACCAATATGCTCTGGGCATGACTATACATAACATAAAAATCACACTTGAAATGGGTGGACAATTAGATAAAGTTACAAGTGTTGTAGCAAAACTAATAGCAAAAAAGAGGAAATTGGCCACATTAAAATTACCTTATAGGGAGGTTCATTTAATATCCAAAAATTTCTCAACAATAGTTGGACAAGTAAGGAATGTTGGGCTAAACTAGAAAATTTTACATAAAATCGAGTCTAAATTTTAGCTAAGTAAACATCCTGTAGTAAAATGAGTAATTATGAATTATATAGACATCCTAATAGGAGTTGTAAGACTTTCGTATTGAAACTTGATGTAGGTAAATAGTGATGTAGGTAAATAGAGGTACGTATGGAGTTAAGAGTTAATGTTGTGTTGGGATCTATATCGATGGTTGTAAAGATAAAATAATAATAAAACAACATTGAAATGGAAGAAGTGTAGTGAAAATTTAAAAGTAGTGATTTTTAGTATTGAAAGATATATGAGTTAGGTAAGGGGAAAAAAGAGGATAGTCATGATTGACATAAATCATGGAAAATTAAGAAAGAAAAAAAAATCTATTATAATTAGTGTATATGGTGTTGGTCGTAAAAAGACTAAAGATATGAGACATTTCAAATAAGTTAAAAAATATATGTATTAGAGTATGTGCTAGAGAATATAAACAAGTTAATAATGAGTTTAAAATAAAATAAGAAATCCAATTAAACTTTTATGTGTGTTTGATAAGAATAATAAATTGGTCATGCTATACATAACGATGTTTGGAATTTTTAATGAATGATGGGATATTAATATGAGTACTTTCTTTGATTATAAGAGAGGTACCTAAAGGAACATCCTCAATGGTTGGAGAAAATACATAACGGGAGGTACAAGTAGGTGTTTAACACTTTATTCATCTTGTGTATTTTATTTAAATAAATCATTAGTGCATGGTTTAAAAGATTCAAAGTCACTATTAACTTAAAATTTTAATTATTTTTTATGTAAATTCATTTACTTTATTAGATTAATGATTTTTTTTTTTATAAATTGTTAATACAAAGGTAAATTTGAGTGGGATAGAGAAAATAATAATATTGTGATGAGGGTTTGGGAGCATTATGCTACAATTAGGTAATAATAATAACAATACAATAATTATTTTTTTTATTTTAAATGTTAAAATTCCAGTTCTCATTAACTCATACAAAATACATTTGTATCATATAGGTTATATGATTATTGGTATGCAACACAAAAAAACTAAAAAATATACTAGAGAAAACACTTTACCAAGCTAAAATAACATGACAGTTTGGAAGGATTTGAGGCCGCCATACATCTTGGAGGATGCGTGGGTGAAATATATTCAGTACATGACGTCTAAGTGTTTCACATGATGCTTATAATCTGGTGCAGGAAACCGGAGCTGACAAATTCACGGCTCGGTTACCATGCATATCAGCGGCTTCATTAATTTTGTTTTGCATGCAAAATGGATGGTAAGATTAATTTTAATCACATCTATCTTTAATTAATTTATTGTTATTTATAAATATATTTTAACTTGAAATATTTTTTTCTTACAGGCTACAACTCTTGGACGTGTGTCAAGCCCAATGAAACTTTTTATGGAGATGCACGTGTAAAGTGAAGACCACTAAAAAGAAGTGTAATAGTTTGTCGACAATCATGCTCAACACTTTATGGTATGTTCGTTTAACAATTTTCTTTTGTAAGTTATTATTTTTTTAAATTGAATTTGATTATTTAAATTTTTAGTTCCATGAGACATATAACAGCTGGTTAAGGTAGAG